TGGTTGGTTGGTTGGTTGGTTGGTTGGTTGGTTGGTTGGTTGGTTGGTTGGTTGGTGGTTGTTGGTTGGTGGTTGGTGGTTGGTTGGGGGTTGTTGGTTGTTGGTTGTTGGTGGTTGGTTGGGGGAGGAGGAGGAGGAGGAGGACGACCGGGCCCAATAGTCTTAGCTGCACCAACATCCATTGGGTTGGATTTTTTTGGATTATGGCTTTTGACAGCAGTGCAGTGCAGAGATCCAGATATGATGATTGTGTGGTTCATGACTGCGGTGCAGTGCAGAGATTCAGATATTATAAGAGTTGTGGTTGAGTGCAGTGCAGAAAAGATGAACAATTGAGAAAAAAAACATCCTACCGTGGTCCTCTGTTCTGTAAAGGAAACAATAAATAAAAGCAGAGAAACTGCTTTGATCACTTTTGATATTGAGAACTGTGTAAGACTGAAAGGTCCCAACAGCAGAGCCAAACTGTTCATGGTCCACCTTGGACACATGCCACATGCACTTGAACAGTCCACGGAACTTCCTGGTAGTTACAGTCATTGAACAATGCCCAGGCTGATAATCCTTGCCTCAGCTTTTGGCTGCTTCAAGCGTCAATATGACAGGAGCTCAAACCATTGCAAACCATTGCAATGAATAGCTGGGACCTAATGAATACATATGAATGCTGTTCAGCTATTTGCACATTCCGAAAATCATTCACTCGCATTTTGCTGAGCATCAGCTCGCTCTCGGTGCTTAAAGGGTCCATCTCCAATGTATCCACAGGTGCTTCGCCCTTCTCCTCACACCTCGGGCTAAACCCGCCAAAAGTATCAGCCGGCCATTATGAATGGGCGGAGGATTAGGTTCATGATTCTTCTCAATGAACATAGTATTATAGTATAGTCGTCAATTAATCTTATTGGCAGTTCAAAAGGCTCAAAGAAACCTTTTTCCTGCTTCCCCTGAGCTTTGTGACCATGGCTGGGACGAAATATTGGCCGAGGGCACCATTGAAAGTACCTTTGCCGTATACCGACTTGCAAGTCTCCATTCGGAAGCCTCGGACGTTAGAATCAGCATCACCGCCAAGAACAACACACATGCACAGCTGAAAACTTGAGGCCCAGTTGATTCGATCTGGTAGCTTGACAGTTTCTTTTAGTCCATGTATTGGTGAGAATGCTCTGGCTGCATTGAGCATCCTGCCTGTTGTTCTTCATGTCGAGCCAGTGATTTCTTCTGTCTTTGGTGACCACCACTTTTGCATTCATGAATCTCCACCTGAAGCGAACAGTTTCCATGAGCAAAGCCAATCAAGAGCAGCATCTTCCATGGATGACTAGAGCTCACAGCTGAAGGCCCAAGTACAAAGTTTCCGCTCTGGGACTTCTTTGATCAATCCAACAAACGCTTCAAACAAATGCTGTTTGATGAGATCTCTCATTTCCTAGAGATTGGCAGGTTCTGTGCTTTGTATTAACATTCTACAATGCTGAGAGTGAGACATCTGTTTGAAGGCAAACCCCACATTAAGTCAACATAGAAACCGACAATTGAAAACATATTATCATCATTTTTTTCTATGAAGCTTTCATATGTTCAACGTTGTTCCAACTAAATTCAGTTGAGGAGATTAAGCCTCCTTCTCTGACAAGTTTGTTCTTGCCTGGACTTTCACTTTCCACATTCAAGTATATAGATCAGTTGTAACTTAAGCTACAAACAAGCCTTAAACACCGATCACTGTGCCAATATATTCGATTGCACTATCTATAGAATGAGTGAGCTGCTTCTTACCTGAAATAACAAAGGCACTAATGACTTCTTCTCCCACAAATCACTGCATCCAAACGAGGTGCAACGAGCTTTCTTCCGCTTCTGTGGATGCTGGAGCGACAGGGACAGGCTCATCCTTCATTCGCCAACGCACACCTCAGGTTGAAGTGTGTGGTACATGCGAAGGTTTGTGCAGTACTTGCTTGGCTATTTGAAAAAAGAGTATGCCTGTGAACAGGTGTTCCTCTGTCTGGCTTGCCTTTTCTTCAAGCAAACTCAGGAACCCTCAGAATCAACACCGGAACAACTTTACTTTTTTTTGCAAACAGGCTCTCACTCAGAGGGGAGCAGTGCTTGCTACCGTCACTTCTTTTTCCAATGGGCTGGGACGATGGGCAGCTGCAGCAAAGACAGTAATGTTGGAGCAGTCGTTTAAAGCAACGAACAGAAGGAAATAACCGACTCGAAAAAACTAAAGGCAAGGAGGATCGAACATGGTCGTCAAAAGCGAGACTTTAATCGGATAGCACCTCTAATCCGCCAAACGGTCTCTCGGGTGGATCGCACGTTGTACTTGTCGATCAAGAACCTCCGTCACGGATAAGAATCGAAACAAGCTGATTGCAATAGAACAGAAACACCCCTTTTACAGACTTGTATGTACTTGAATGGCTTGCCAAAATGACATTGTGTTGTGTTGGTGTGCTTCTTCTACTACCACTTTTTATAGCATGAAATCATCTATTACTACTGCCCGCAGTAGTAAGCAAAGAAACCTTGTCCACGCTTAAATGACCAAACACTTTCTCGAACCAATAAACAAACACACACACACACAAACACAAAAACAAACAAAAATACTATTCACATCTATTCACTACTAGATCTATGAGCTACATGCCTACAGCGAAACCATTGCAGCCACTGCAAGCATAAGAGCAACAATGCAGTCGTCACACATGCAGCACTTACAGCACATCCCTTGGCGCTTGCAGTGGCTCTTGTCACGCCCTTGTCGCAAAGGCAGTTTTGTATGTTTCGTCGGAGACTGGATGAAATACCGTGAGTCACATCGCACTGTAGCTTCGTCGGATGGTCGGATCGGGCAACGTCAGCAGCGTGCCACGCGATTGGCCCATGTACGGGCTCCAGGCGCTGTGTGGTGCAAACTCGCCCCAGAACCTTTGTTGGCTGTAGAAAACTTGAGGTTTTGCAGCGCGGGAGAGGTGGGTTCTGGGATCAGTCGTAAGGGCAAAGGAGACGTCAAGACGTGGTGACAGGGATACTGCCGCAAACGTCGCCATCGGCTTAGGAGACGTCCGATGAAAGCTCATTGAAAGGTGCTTTGGACGCGAGGTCCTTTTCTTGGCAATTGGTGGGCAGAACGTGCAGAAAATACTGTAATTGGCAGTCCAAGTCTTTGCATTTTGACAACTGCGCACAGTTGTCTTCTCCCAATGTATCTTATGTTAAATGGATCATAAATTATAGGTACATAATGAGTGCAGTCTCTCTTTCCAAGACCACAGACTCCCCTGTTCTCGCCTAATGATCTCATCGCGGGACTGGATCGGTTCCAGGCCATGCTTGATGCAGTATTGGGTGTAGGTGGCACGAAAGTGGCGCATGTAGACAAAAGGTCGGCGTTCCTTTCAGGTGTCAGACTTCAATCGCAACGTCTTGTGACTCGCAGCTCGAGTCCACGTGTATTTCGCTTGATCCGCTAGTTTTCAAGCTGAACAACAGAAACTCATGCTTTTTGCAGGCTCGAGTCCTCTTGGCTTGGAGTGACCACGATCCTTGTGTCTGATTTCGGAGACTTCTCCACTGGCATATCCTGGGCAAAGTTCAAAGAGCGTCCTAAAATGGAGATCCTTTTATGGATTTTGTATGTTTTTCATCTTAAACTGTTCGAGTGACCTTGACCGGCTCCACAGGCACCACTTGCGACTTTGCACCTCGGATGTGCAAGTGTTGCTCAGGGCGCTAGTCAAATTTGTCGTCTTGGTGCTGACAGGTTGCTTTTTTGATAATGTGGATGTGACACGACGAGATATTCATGGCCAAAGCGTGCCAGGCTGTTCAGAATCTTGCTCAAGATCGGCTCCAACACCTACAAAGCTGAACAAACACACAAACATGTTCCCGGGAACAGTATGGATCGAGACAACAGTTATCATCAGACTTATCAAAAAGGCTGCCGAGGCACCAGCAAGTCAATCAATAGCAATGGTTGGAGAAATGGGTTGCCTTCTGCGGCATGGATTTGCCTCCAAAGTCAACGCACATCTTTCTCCATTGTTCTCAAACAAACCACTTCTGATACAACCCACAGTTGCCATGTATATTTCTGTCTGGTGGATGAATGTGTCCCAAATGACGCTTGAGAAGCAAACGCCAGCCCAGTCTTTCCTTTCCAAACTAGTATTCCGTCGAACTATCAGCTAGAAGGTCTGCTGTGCAGTCTCTTCTCTCACACATTTGCAAAGCTGCTCATCCAGCTTGTTCTCTTCTTTGTCCTCGCAGGGCAAATTGAAATGGGACAAATACCCACAGCGTCTTTGAAGCTCCCAAGATGAATCTGCTGTGGCATCGACTGCAAAGAAGTCTGATCCACTCGACTCTCCTTGATCTCCCCAAGTTTCTGCTTCAGGAGGGTCTGCTGAGCTCTTTTCTCCATGTTCCGGGCCTCAGAATTGATGAGCCCTGTGAAATCTCTACTCATTTGGACGCTAACTGCATCATGCTCTACTCTGTGCATTTGTGGACTAAGAGTTCCACTCGAATGCCCTTGCGTGCCAGCTTGAAGAAAACAAAGGTGAACAAACAGCTGGCAAGCCCACCGCATGCCAAGCTCAAGCCCGTCGCGGCATCCTTGCGGATTCCACCACATCACAAGGATGCACGTCAGAAACTCCGCATGCCTGCAGCTGATCCAATGCGTGAACTTCACGTGGTCTCATCAATGTATCACCATTCCTTGGAACTTGTCAAAAGACTTGGAATGGTTCTACAGTTCTATGTGTTCAAATATATTCGAATAACATCAAATGCAATCAAGTGCTAGAAGTGACACTCCGAACTTTAGTTTTGCCGAATCCGAAGACTGCAAGCTTAGAACATGCTGCTGAAGAAACTCGAGTCTTCTATGTAAGCGTATGGTTTTTGGAACATGTGATGGCCTGTAAAAATTCCTGTACGGTACCTTCACTGTGTGGAGGTACCATATATCTGATTCCGCAGGTCGATCACTCACTGAGAAGAGGTATTGGATGTAATGGACGTGTGGTTCAAAGTGTTTAGTTTGGGATCAGTATTTTCCCAAGCAGGGGTCTTCACGATCTTCTAAGGCTGGACTAACACATTGCCTCTTGCTTAAAGAAGGACTCGCAAACGTATCTTGAGGTTCAGTAGATTTTTTCTAAGACGACGAGGCTTTCTGTCACTATAAGTGTCCCCAAACATCAATCCAAAAAAGGCAGACAGCAGCATCAAGAAAGCAGCTTGCACCTCTTTTCCAGAGAGGTGGTAGTGTCTGCCTTTACAGGTTTGAACTGTCCTTTTCACACATACCAGGTCTTCACCTGGTTTGCACTGGGTGGCATTCGAAAATCAGCCGGTGAGAACCTGTAAAGCAAACTGACACCGGGCGTCCAGTCTAGGACCCATGGGTGTCATAGTCAAGAATGGTTTGCCCCCTTCTAATCAGCGCGTGAAGCAGCTGGAAGGGAGCTTAAAAGGGAAAATGGCGGTCCTCAGTAATGGTAGATCTCCTTGAGGACCCAGTTCATCAGGGTGAACTCTGAGAGAATGTTTTTCGCATCTAGGTGAAACTCAAGATGAAACCCCGTGGGGTTTGGATGAGTAAGTTCATCGGCCCACTGGTTGAGGTCCCGCTTCACGTGGTGTGGGGCAAGTTGCACGCCCCCTTTGTGGAGCGTTAAGACAAGCTGCATCAAAATGGCCGCAGTGGGCATCTGCCTCGTCTTGTTGTTCAGCATGCAGAAGACGTTGCCTTGGTTGTCCGTGATCACTGGAATCTTGACTGCCAGCTGGTTGCGTTCCCCCATCTTCAGGATGAAGGCGATAAGGATGAGGGATCCCAGTAACTCGAGCGCTGGGATCATGGCCCTGGCAGTTTTGGTTTTGAAAAGCCATGGAAAGGAAGCCTCGTCCAAACGGAGGTGGAACCAGAAAACTGATCGTTTTGCTGGAGTAGGATCAGAGGAGAGCCAGCCTCCGATGTAGTATTCCTTTTGGGTGGAGGCACTCGCATCACTCGCCCCGTGCCAGGGCGACCAGGGTGCGAAGGGAGTGGATTGAGTATAGGGCTCATGGAAGAGAAGTCGCAGCATCTTGGCAAACGTGCGGATCAGGTGGTTTGGTTTGCCAGAGGACTTCACCGCTCCTTTCCATTGCCAGAGCGGTTGGAGCAGTGGCTTGGTCAGGGGGCAGGCACTTGTTGCCCATTGCAGTCGACCCATGCCCTTCTCAAGGTCCTTGAGGGTGAAGACCTCGCCCGCTGCCAGTCGGTCCAGTAGCTGCATTACCATGCAGGGCATGTTTGTCTTTTGCCATCTGGACAATGGGTCCTGATGGATCGATGACGAATCCAAGCCACGTGTTCGTGTGTGCGAGGGCCGTCTTCTTCCAGCTCAAGGGGGTGCCCAATGAGAGCAGCACCACCAGTAGAGCGGTGGCGTGTAGGTCGGCTAAGTGGCCCCGAAGTAGCCAGGCAAAGTCGTCAACAAAGACGAAGCCCCAGTCAGTTTCAGGAAACACTGCATAGATGATTCTAAGGAGGAGGGCTGCCATTCGTCCCCAGTAGAGTTGGGCGCTTGCCATGCCGTAGGTGCCCACCTTGTTGACCCACCATTCATCACCAATTTGGGCCACCTGGAATCGCCAGTCCCGAGAGTGGATCTTGACGCGTCTGTGTGCTTTGGTGACATCTGCCTTGAGGATGTGCCATTCCGTGGCCGGTTCTGGCCATGTCCATTGACCCTGCCCTTCCTTTGGGGTATCAGGGCCCGAGGCACCTGCCCGTCTGGAAGGACAAGTCCCACAGGAGGCACGTAGCCAACGCAGGCAGTGGACGCACTCCATCACACTGGGGCTGTGGTACACTCCTCCGTGCGCCGTTGGATGTGGGCATTGGCCCCTCCCCAGGAGCCATCATAGATGGTTCTCACTTTGTCTCCCTCATCGACCCACAGGGGGCGGCAGAAAGTCCTGAGTGGGATCTTCACCTTTGAGTTCAGTCTTGGTAGGCCAGATCCCCGGGCTAGCAAGCGTGGGTTCAGAGACACCCAGTGGGACTCCCCCTGAGGGTGAGGGGATAGTCCTGGTCTGCGTCGTTCATCTGTTTGGCCAGGTCATGGATGGCCTCCAGGTAGAACGGTTGTCCCGGGTCAATGGTGTCTTTGCGCGGGCCCACCAGAATGTGGCGTACTTCACATAGCAGAGCTTCCGGAAAAGGGTGCTGCTTGTCGCGTTGGCTGATGGAGTGACGAAAGTCCTTAGTGAAGGTTTGGGCCTCAGTCAGGATCAGTTGGCCCTTCTCGGCCAATGGCGAGTGGGGCCTCAGTGGTGGCGGAGTGCCCTGGGAAGGTTTTCCCCCCCCATCCCGAAGGGGCCGTACTCTGAGTCCCAGGGGGACCAGCAGTTCGTCATCCAAAAGATGGAGTCTGGCCGTGGTGGGCAGACGAGAAGGTCTATCCACTCCTGGCTGTTTTGTCTCGTTTGATGTGGTCGAGAAAGCCTCCCGCGACGTACCGCAGGCGGAGGTGGGGTTCTGAGGTTGTCCCCTCCTTTGTGTGGGGGTCCCTCCATCTGTCTGTGGAGGGCCCTTCTGGTCCTCATGTGCCTCCGGCGGAGGTGAGGTTCGCCGCTCCCGGGCAGGCGGAGCCTTGGTCCACTGGACCGGGCGTGTTGGATGGAGGGCTTCCTCCAGTCGCCCCCCCCCGGAGGGGTCTTCTCCCGCTGCGGATTGCAGGCGGAGTCGGATTTACGATCCGTGGGGCCTCTCTCAGAGGGCTGTGTCTGATTGGATTGGGATGGAAACTCTAACTTCCGGGACGTACCGCAGCCGGAGTGCTGAGCCAGGGGGGGTGTGTGTACCCGCCCCTGGTCCTGGAGTTGGTCCATTGGTGCTGCTGGGGGCACCGGATCGGTCTTTCCCCCCAGCCGTGGCCGTTTGGCGGCACCTGGTCCGGGATCAGCGCATGAAGCAGCTGCGGAACAGGGCGCCGTTGGTAGCCCTGCATCATGTGCCAGGGATACCTGCTTAGGTCAGATGACATGAGGGTGTTCCTCTGCCGGTGCTCCTCGTTTGTGGTCGCAGTACACGCCGTGCCGAAGGAGGAGGTTGGTGGACAATGGTGGACAATGTCGTCGTCTTTTTGACCACCTGGCCAAGCCGACATTGGTCAAAGGTAATCAGTGTGTTGCCGAGCAGGCGATACCATGTGCGTACCGCTCGTGTGGCCCAGATGGAGCTGCACCTCCATGCGCTCGGTGCTGTGCTGTTGTCCTTTGGATCAGCTGGGTGCTCCAGGAAGTTCCATGGAGCTGGCAGTTTCCGCCGCGCCCTGCCCAGGTGGGCGAGGTGTGTGAGGACCATCTGGCGCAGTAGGAGAATGCTGTCACCATCCACCAGTTGCTGGTCTGTGGTGTTTAGGCAGTAAACCCCAGCAGTAGGGTTCCCGGCGGCCGCGTACCGGTGGCGGTGCTCCCGGCTTGGGGATCCATCGGAGGATGCTCCATGTGCGGCAGTTGGGGCCACCGCCCACTCCTTCGAGTTGGCCCTCTAGGGCTCGGTGGCGCAGGTCACTGTAGGGTTGGTCCCGGAGAAGGTCATGCTTGACCTCCTTTCCATCCCGCCTGATGTCCAGGGCAATGAGCTCTGTTGAAAGGTCGGGGAAAAGCTTCCGGATGCAGGAGTCTAACGACGTAGCATCGTCCTTCCCGGCGTAGAGGAGGAGATGAGCTGAGGTCTGAGGGGGCAAATGCGAGTGCCCCTGACTCCAACGCAGTCCCTCATGTAGGCGTTGCGGCGCAAATTGCATCCACTGTTGCAGTTCAGCCCAAGCGTCCGATACGCTCCCAGTCCACTGGGTCAATGCCCGCTGTGCCGGGGGCACGTCATTAAGTGGATTGGAGCCCCCCTCAAAGGGTGCTGGTGTGTTGCTGGGTGTGGGAGCAGTCCCCTGGGTAGGGCCCGAGGCACCTGAAAAAAGTGCCCTCTGCTTGTCTGGTTCCCACTGTGGCGTGGTAGCCTGGATCCATATCAGAGCATGGAGCATCTGTGGATCCCAGGTCTAGTCACTTGTGTGGGCAATTGCCGGGGCTATGCTGCCCTGGGGGTGCATTGCAGACCCATCCGTCCTTCACGACGGGGCAGTTGCGCGAGCGCCCACAGTTGCCTTGGCACGTTTTCCGGATGTGGAAGTGTCGGCAGAAAGGCGTGCCATTGGGCGCCGCAGTGGCCCAAGAGGAAGGCCATGATGACTTCGCCTTGCCCTTGTCTTTCGTCTTGGACTTTCCCTTGCCTTTGGGAGGCGAGGGCCCGGATTTGACCTGGCCCTTGGACCATTGGGGCTGCCGCGGCGACCAGGCGATGCTCCTCTGTGATTTGGACTTCCCCTTGGTAGGTGATTCGGGGCTGCTGAGGGTTTGGCACCGTTCGTGTCCAGAACAAGCTGTCTTGGCGGAGATCTTGCGTGGCATCTTTCAGCGTCGCCCCTTCGTAGACCTTGTTGTGGATCTCACGCCACGCATTCCGTTCCGCATACACCAGGGTGGATTCTGAGGGAGGGGGCTTCCGCTCAGCAATGTCCTTGCCCCAGAACCACTCGTACCAGTCATCCAAGTCTTGCTTGGTCACGTTGAACTGGGGGGTGCTGAGGGAAGCTGATCAGGCACATGTACAGGTTGTTCCGAAAGACCATGTGCATCTTCTTGATCTGTTCCTTAGTGCTCGGGAAGGCTCTTTCTTCTTCTTCAACCTCCCGTTCCCCCGTCAAAAGTGGCTTTTCGTTTGATCTTAATGGGTTTTTCATCAGTGTCTGGAAGTGCTGAGATGATTTGCTTTGTAAGGAAGAATCCAATCTCCCCATGGGCGCACAGCTTGAATTGCTTCTTCAGGAAGTTGTCACTGCCCTGGTAGGTGAGCTTGGGTCGTGGCTGGTTGGCGATGCGGTCCCAATCCACGAGGATTTGTTTGCGGTCACAGACCGCGTCCAGGCCCGTGGTCTTGCCCATGGGTAGTAGAGGTTGGTCCGCAGGCCCGTGATCGTCTCTCCAATCGTTTCCTTAGCCAGGCGCACACACTGAAACATGCGCATGGAAATGAGTTCCCGGAGTTCGTTTGTCCACCCATGGTCATTGGCCAGGACAGGGGTGTCCCAGCAGTCGGCCAGGTCCTCCATGGTGGTGTAGCTCGCCTGGGCCATCTGGGCCATGACCCAGTACGGGATCCCCTTCTGTGTGAGGAGGGCCTTGACCCCCGCACTCAGTGCATCCACTCGTTCCTGAAGAGGTTCAGGTACGGGATGGGGAGGGCGTATCGGCATCGGCGGCCCGGCCGGAGCGGCCATCACCAGGTTCACAGGGAGTGGAGGGTGGGTTCGCAAAAGTTCGATCTTTGATGGATCAGGGGCTGATCCTTGAGCCAAAATGGCAGGCCATCTTGGCTAATGAAATGTATTGTGGACACATTGTTTGCAATCCGCAAACTCCATGCAAAACCAAAGTGTCCCCAAACATCAATCCAAAAAAGGCAGACAGCAGCATCAAGAAAGCAGCTTGCGCCTCTTTTCCAGAGAGGTGGTAGTGTTTGCCTTTACAGGTTTGAACTGTCCTTTTCACCCATATACCAGGTCTTCACCTGGTTTGCACTGGGTGGCATTCGAAAATCAGCCAATCCCGCAGGACGGATGCCACCCAGTGGTCGCCAATCCCGCAGGTAAGTGGCAACCGTGCGGGGTCGATTCCTCAGGAGACAGGACCAGAGGCGTACGACGCCTGTCCCGCAGCCTGGGGGTCAAGGTCAATGTCAAAACCAGTGGACTTCACTCTCCACTGCATGCTCGTGGGATCGGTGGATCATCTCAGAGGTGACCTTCTCCGCTTCCGATGCCGTGTCGACCGAATCGTCCGTAAGGGAGTCCTCGGAGTCTGGCGAGGAGGCTGACGAGGCCTCAGTAGGCAGAGGCGCGTTTGTGGCCGATGGTGTCTGCCAGTCTGCGGGGAAGGTGTGGTGCTTGAAGCACCGTTCGCAGCAAAGGTGGGCATCAATGTTCGCGATGTATTCATCCGATGTGAGCTCATTCACTCGGGCCAGGTTGGGAGACCAGCCGCACCCAATGGTTTTGCTCTGGTTGTCCAGGAGGTGAACCTTGAAGAGGTAGGTGCCCTTCTTCCTGAGTGTGGTGGCAATCACCCGCAGGGGGCCGGAGGCATCAGCGACAGAGTCAGCTGTCGAGGGATGTGCAGTTGGAAGGCGCAATCAGGGATGAAGATCCGGAAGGAGTGCCAAGAGAGGTTCTCGGTATAGGCCTCGTCGGCCCAGCGCTGCCTTGAGCCATCGAAGCGCCCTGTCCGGTGAGGAGGGTCGAGGAATCAGGCCCAGACCATCCTTGCTCAGTGTGGGGATCAGGTAGTCCGAGTCCACAAAGGCCTCAAGTGCGTGCATCTTGCGCCAAGTGATGGTGAGTGGGGTCCACCAGTCGTGGCCCGTGAAGGAGTACTTGGGCGCAATGAGAGGGACCGGACTTCTTCATCTTGAAAGCGGACACTGTCTTGGTCTGCCATGCACTGAGTTCAATGGCGGAGGAACTGATCTGCAGGCTACTGGTCGAGGTATGTTGGAGGTCATTGAACCTTGCGCTGCATGCAACCTGGAAGCGGACCACCCCCAGGATGAACTGATCCAGCAGGGGGATTCCCCCCTTATCAGGGCTCGGAGCGCGCCCAAATCACTTCCTTTGAGGGGACCATGGCCTTCCGCAGAAGAGACCCACCACCGGCAAGTGCTTGGCCTCCCAAATCTCCTGCGCCAAGTGCTTGGCCTTGGCAATGGCATAGACCTCAACAATGCGAGCAAAGGCCGGCGGGGTGAGCTTGTTCACGTCAAACTTGAGGCAAAGCTCAACGATCTCACCCACCTGGATGCTCCGCAGCGGCTGCGCCAGTTTCTTCGGGAGGCAGGGAAGGCCAGCCATGACATTGGTCAAAAGGATGTTCCCGTCCTGGGCAAAGGAGTAGGTCACAGGATCCTGCAAGCGCTGCTCCATCGGAACCTCAGTGTCAAGGCTCGTCCGCAAAGTCGAGGAAGGCACCGGCGACAGCTGCTTGCCCAGCAGCGACAAAGCCCCTGAGGCCGGCACAGAGGAGGATGACACATCCGGGGGAGGCTCGGTATCAGGGCGTGAAGCACCTGCCGAGGCTCTCGAATGGTCACCCCCAACCAAGGCACCAGTTTCAGAGGGACTCGCTGACGGAATCCCAGTATCAGGGCCAGAGGCACCTGCCGGGACTCCCGCGTCGTCTCCCTGATCCAAGGGGCGTTTGCGGCTGCTTGACACCGCCGATGTGTCCTCAGCCACCACGGAAGATGCCGTAGGGGGAGGAGCCGAAGTAGGGCTCGCAAGTCCAGCAGGGGCCTCCGGAGGGGCCTGCAAGGAGAGAGAGGTGATGCCGCTCACCATCGCCTCCAAGTCCCGCTCCAAATCTGCGGGGGTCTTGTCCGCGGGGATCACGTAATCGGCCAAAATGGCCATCTCATCCTGATCAGCTGCAATCTGGGCAGTCTCAGCGGCTGCCACCTCCTGCTCCATGGGATCCGGTCCCAGGATCACAAAATCCTCCGCTGAGTCCAAAAGTTCGAAGTCGAAGAATTCAGCCATGGCGGCGAAAGTCAGAAAAGAGCGAAAAAGCGAAAGTCGCAAAAGTTCGATCTTTGATGGATCAGGGGCTGATCCTTGAGCCAAAATGGCAGGCCATTTTGGCTAATGAAATGTATTGTGGACACATTGTTTGCAATCCGCAAACTCCATGCAAAACCAAAATGTTTGACAAACCTTGGGAGCTACTCAAGAGCCAATTTCAAATTCTTAGAAGTCAATGCAGGATAAATGAATCGCTGCTTTGTCTTTGCTTGGTGCCTCCTAGCCGCGCTCCTTCGTAAAACTCCCAGTACTTCGACGCATCTGGCTTGACCCTGTGGTCTGGATCCAATAGGACGAGTTCACCTGGCTGAATAGATGGGAATGATGGGATGCAACCTGCTGATCGCCCACGAGTTGATTCATTTAGCTCACCTGCCCACCTCGGAGCTTTTGCCTGCTGGCCAATCCGTCCGATCGCAAGGAACGTTGCATCTGGTCATACATCGAAGCAAAACGCACTTGCAGAGCCGGTTTCAAATAATCCTGGAGGGCTTGTGCGAGTAAAAAGACTTTTGATCTTCACTCTGCTTGTGCTTGTGATCCTTCATGAGCCCAACAAAGCTGTGAACGCATCAAACAAACCGCTTTCATTCTTGGGCATGATTGCCTTCCCCCCATCAGCAAGCATGTGTTTCCAGAAGTCAACAATTGTCCTTGCTTTCTCGCATGGGCATGCAAACCTACTCAAGGACTCTTGGCCCGAAAACAAACCTTCAACAGCAAAATACAACGTGCCACTGCAGTATGTCAACGTAGTATAATGGACCCCAGAACGATATATATATATATATAAACATATTATACATATATATATAAATACATCTTGAATGCTGTTAGAATCTATTGTTGGGGCAGTTACTGTATATTGATCTTCTTGTCGGTCCCAGTGGGAAGTGTAGTAGGTATGATACGAGATGAGCCCAGAGGACGCGAGGGGACATGAGCACATAAAACATAGCGTGAGCAAATGACACATGTTGGACGACAAAAACCTTGAAAGTAGAAAGGTATATGATATGAGATGAATTTTGAACATGTGTTGCTGGTTTGCATATTGACGGATATGAACGTCTAGGAGGTCATACTCTTGTTGAATTAAACACTTTGAGCTTTTGACTTACCTTTCGATGTTTGTGGAAAAGAGTGCGAGGTTGGGCCAAAATCGATGTCCAAACGAAGCTGCCTCATGCCAACAACAGTCAACAGCACTGTTCTGTTTCCACTCATCTAGAACTTCTGTTTCACAACTGAAGTCCTCTGATGAAGGATGCTCTGCAATTGAATTGACCTAGGCATCGGTGGCCGTTCCACTCGTACACACTTGTACAGTCCTGTTCAGTCGAAACTCGATTCCACTTTAGCCCAAGAAGCAATGCTGGCCGAGCATGACATATCAAGATAAGAAACTCGAAAGGTCAAAATCTCAGGCTTCAAAATCCCTGCAGAGAGGAATGTAAGGATCCTCGGAGTGTATCTCAATATAGTTTGTGCAGAAAAAACTCGGCCGTTTGGCCATAACTCATAACGATCTACCGCAATGAACACAAATGACACTGTCAAACGAACTTACAGGCCTGGCTGAGATTGACAGAATTTGTAGTAACCACGTAAATTACATGGACCTCTATTTGCTTGTGTGGCTGCTCCATGTCACTATCACCGTCATGACTCTTGAAAATATAAATGCCGAGGCGCGCTGGGTCCATGGAGAGAAAAACAGGTCGAGTTGCATATACCCAGCGCGTGGCTGGGATACCCGGGACAGCAACAGTATCGATGACCACCACGCCATGATCGGTCGACTGGGTAGAAATGGGAACTGATGCTTCATTTCAAAACATCCTTCTTTCTTTGCCTCAGCCTTCAAAAAAACCATGTTACACCGATGCTACCTCTTAAGGCACTTACTGTTGGCAAAAACCAAAATGGCATTCCTCCAGTTTTCACCCCTGCACCTCTGGATCACCGAAGCGTGGACCAACAGTTCGCATCATCCGCCTGGAGGCGTGCAGCCAACACAGAAAACACCATGGTGAGCAGAAAGGACATTTGGGCAACCGCTGAATTCTTCCTGGGTTCGCCTTAGAAGGATCAGGCGGGTGATCCCGCGGTAAATGGCCACTTAGTGGTCAATTTGTGCAAAAACATGTGATACGAAACGTGACTACGCCGCTCTCTATTTCCAGTCCTGGCATCTGGCAAATGCATGCGAATGCCCGGCAGTCGATCAGCTGGCGCCCAAGTGCCGCTGGATGACGAAGCACCAGCAACGCTGAAATGCACCTTGCAAAAAAATATTGCAGCATGTGGTGAAAAAAGGTAAGGCAAAATAATCAGCAGCTTCCGCTGACTTATGCTTTTATATTTGACTTATAGAGATTTTGTTGCGCGAGGTAGTTCTCCAACAAAGCTGGTGGGTGGAAATTTGGCGCCAGCAAAAATATGGGAATAAGGTTGGTGGGATGACGAAACTGTCGAATTTTGGGTGACTAAGAGTTGTGTGATGGCATATGATGTGGTGGCTTGTGATGTGGTGAAGTGTGCGTAGTTTGTGATGTGGTGAAGCAAACAAGGTGCTCAGTGAAGTATAGTGTGGTGATTTGTGATGCACTGAGATGATCATTTTTCGACTTTCCGCACGCTAGATGTTGCCATCTACAGCGTTGCCTCGCCTCTTGTGTTGTGGCAAGAGAATTGACCAACCCGTCATTAGATTGAGCAACCGTCCCACGGCTGTATGAGGAAGTTCCTCAGCCTGCGTCTGTTTCAACTGCACAGCGCAGCATCAAAATGAAGGCATCTTGGTAGATGGCTGCTGGCAATCACAATTGGCTTGCGGTCGTCATCAGTGGACACCCGTTGGTTCGAATTCGGCCAAGGAAGCCAGTCAGTGAAGTGTCCCGCCTTCTTGGCGCATCTCGCGCGGCGAATTCAACGGAATAAGGAGCAAATTCTTCTTCTGGGCACGTTGCAAATGCGCCGCCTCAAGGATCAGCAAGTAGGTGTTCTGTAAGTGATCGCCAGCTGTAGCTCTGAACCCCGGGCCCAGGTCTGTTGAGAATACCGCTGCAAAGATCTTTCTCAGCAGGACACACACTCGACAGCTGCAAAGAGGGCCCTGAAACGCAGCCCCCGTATGGCAAGGGGCTGTCATCCACCACAGCTGCGGTAAAATAGAGTTTGGGTGTGTCTCGTTTTTATCACCGAGACGTTACCGATATGCACTGTAGAGACTAGTTCTAGTGATGTGATGAAACAGTATTTATTTGTTGCTATTTTTTCTCTACAGTAGAAATTGTACTTCTAGCTATATACTTGTCTCCACAGTAAAACCTCTATGTTTGGCAATCTTGCGCTAGAAAAGCTCAACCCTGGGCGATCTTTCTCTTGAAATCTCTAGTTTTGGTTACTTGTCTCTAGACAACGCGCCTATGTTTCCGCACAATCGCTGCTTTTTGGCTACTCTTCTCTAACATTTCTCCAGGAAGTGCTTTTTGGTAACTTTTCTCTACAAGGATTTGCGAGCCCCCTGTGCCCCAAGTACCAAAAAGCAAAGGCACATATTCAATCTTGCTCTAATCATGCTAGCGCATGTCAGTTTAACATCAAGCTATAGAATAGCATACGTTGCCTGGATTCACCATGGTAGTCGTGCCTGTGGAGTTTAGTAAGCAACATTGCAGCTTAGGTGCCATCCCCGCTTCGCTTTGCACGGTGAACCTAAGCCACAAGAAACCAAGCAAAATCATCATCACTCCAACATAACTTAATCTAATCTGAACAAATTTGGAGAAAAAAGGCTTATGGACACATACATGTTGTCAGGGTTTTTCGACATGCAATGGATTGCACAATCTTTTGATCAAGCAGCTTTTGGAAGCTGCCCGTTTGACCCACGCGGTCGATGAAAAGCTTCTCCACCGGCTGGCTAAGGCCATCTGAGTTTTTAGCCACCAACATCAAGCGATCCACATAAGCGGGGACCTGGAACTGACTGGGCATCAACGATCGAGTAGACATGCCAGAATTTCATCTATGAAAGGGTACCCCCCCCAACCAATTCCATTTCCTGGAGACACTGGTAGCTGAGCCCAATGTTGCACCAAAAAGCAACCTTTGTGGGCAAAAACACAAAGTCACAAATGCATAAATACTTTTGTTTTGCATGATGTACTGGAATGAGAGATGAAATCCCAACCCTTGTATGAACATATATCTTCGCGCTTAGCATTACACCAAGTCATGTATAGGATGACACACTCAAATGAGAAGTATGCCGCCAGCCCTTTTGTGTCAAGACTTCGCACAGTAGGGGATCTGTGATAGAGGAACCCCGTTGTGATCTTAAGGGAAGTCCCGTACCTGGACTTCTTAGCGGGCCCTCTTCCTTTGATGCTATAGATCCTTTGCATGGAAACTAGCTCGAGATAAAGTTGTTCTTTGTCGACAGGACGAAGGGGACAAGCCCAGATCCATTTCTGCTCAGGTGAACAATGGAGACCTATATACTGTAAGTAGATTTGGAAAACTTGAGAGAAGTCCTTGAGACTGTGGTCAAATCAACTTAAATCAATGAAGGGAGCTGCAGCTGCAAGTGTAGTGCAGAAGTATTGGAGAATAAAAGTCGAAGCTCTACAGATTAGTCGAAGCTGTTGGCCTATCATTCGTCTTCAAGCCCAAAAAGCAGGCCCTTAGAGAGAGTGGTGAAGGGTCCATGAAAGCCCAACGAAACCTTTGACATGGACCTTGCACCAGTAAAAACAAGATCTACAGTATCAAGCTGGATGGTTTACTTTCAAGCTTGTTGGGAGGAGAATCACTGCACCGGCACATTTTCCATGGACTAGCCTCTTCAGCCACATCGTCTGAGATTGGAGGAGGGTTTTTGAAGAGACCGAAGTCTGGCACGGCTATTCAAGAAGAGTTGACATCGGAATTCTTTTGAGAAGTGTTGGAGGCCGGTTGAAACCGTATCTCAATCGGTGGAGAGTACCAGGAGGGGAAAAAGGACAAGGGCAAGGAGCAAAAGAGCAAGGGCACTATGCTACACATATGGCAAACCGGGCCATGCACACTGTGGTTGTTAGCGCAACTACACTGCGAGGAATGTTGCCACTGAAGCTATGACATCATCTACAAAATCATCTGGCGGGACACCCTTACAGTTCCTCCACAGCAAGCATCAATGGTAGAGCAGGCCAGCGGCTCAGAATCCAAGATCACTGAGAGATGTCCATCAGCATAGATAATGTTGCTGCCCTTTTTCCCTCTAAGCGGACGAGATTTTCAGCGCCATGTGTGAGCCAACAACCCATTCTGTGCTATGGTGCCCCTGCCATTGTGGAGTGCGGTTGGAATGGACGTGAACAGCTTTTGGAGAATGAGGACTGCTTCAAATGCAAAACAAGACCCTGATAATGTATGGCAAAGTGAGAGTGATCAAAGAAAAGAAGGAAGAACCAGTCTTGGCTTGGAGGTGCAGGTCCCAGAAACCATCGAGAAACGTGCAGGTTCGAGGTTCAATGAGCTGGCACTCTTACTTCTCGTTGTTTATTCCTCGAGGGGCTTGCTTGAATCATTGAATAGTCATCCGTGTGGTGTCGCAACAAGGTCAATCTGCGCCGAACTTTCATGCCTTCCCGGGCGAACTTGTGGCAATCACAAGGGATGAGGAAAGCGACGCAGAATTCACTCAGCTTACTTCCGTTGGATCGCTTGCAAGTTCCAGTGTATAGGAAACTGATCTGGCTGTGTGAGTCCAGGAGGGGCATCTTCGCTAGAAGGGTCATTGATGGGGTGTCACTCGGACGATCTTTGGTAGACTGGCAGGGCCAGCAGTCTCTTACTGGAAGCTGAAACAGAAAGTCATTTTGTTGTTTTAGCTCGGAATGAAATGAATTACTCTTGAAAATCTATTGTGATCAAGGTGCTGCTAGTGTCGCAGCGGGTGTGTATGTGATGTTGATGTTGATATGGCATAGCAAGGATTTGATCATTGATGTGGGATGCTGTCTCAATCTATGGATTAATTATTTGTCATTTTTGGATTGATGCCATTTTCCACGTGGCCAAGCATGTGCATGTTGATAATATTGTCCGCGTCGAAGATCGAACGCATAATTGGTCTGATTTTGTTATTAAATTTGTGTTTTTTTCCCCAGATAGCGAAGCTATGGGGTTCTTACTTCAAATAACAATGAGTTGCCCGTGCGCGTTTTCGAGACAGGTTGCTGGTGCTGGGTGCCGGTGTTGGTGCTGGTGCTGTGAGCTGGCTGTGCACGTGGTGGAGACAGGTTGCATGTTTTTGCTGTCTGGGGTCTATGCTGGTGTATTTTTTTCCAGTGAAATGACAGGACATTGTCAAAACAGTTGGTTGATGAGAACCAATGTGGGCTGCCTGAGTTCCATTGTCAAGACGGGTATGATCTTGATCAAACGTGAATTCCGGTAGACTGGGCATCCGTTCAGCTGAACCCACGAAATATCTATGAAGATCTGGAGGCTGTGAGAGCCAGTCTTCCGACCCAGCATGTTGGTAGGGTGTGTTGGGACATGTTGGGACTATGTGTTGCTGATTCACTTTGTAATGATGAGCAAACCTTTGAGGTACGGTTTCGGGAGCAAATTCGAAGGAGTTTTGACCGCCAAGACCGAGTGTTTCATGCAATGGATCTGCTTGTGGATGGTCATCTTACTCTTCTGGTCGTTCCAAGGTTGCTTGGACGACCAAAGCCCTATGCTTTTTGAATACCAGCTCGGAAACATAGCATTTCCCAATGTGTAAATTGATCGTGTTACTTCGGCCAGGTTGGTTTCCCAATTTCGAGAATTCAATCCTGGCTTTGGCTGGGAGCGCGATGGCGATCTCTGGGAGGTTTTCTGTTGCCACTGCAATGGATAACAAAGAACTTTTCATTATAGTTTTCACTGCGTGTACATGTCGTACTTTGCACTAGGTTTGTTTTCGCTTGCGGCCATCTAAGGGCCCTTGAGTCACGTTGGGTAGGGCCCGATCGATCGAACTTGGAGGAAAGGACAGGACCGACTTCGTTGGCGGTGAACCTCTACAACCAGATCCGATTGAATCAGGAAGAATCCGCTAGGATGCTAGGATGCTTAAGAGCTCAGCAGGAAAACAAGATGGAGCCCACGAACCCGAATGCAAGCACGGTCGAAAAGCTACAAATGTCCAAATGACACTCTTGTAGGACACTCTTACGGGACACTCTTGTAGGACACTCTTGTGGGACACTCTTGTAGGACATTCTTGTGGGAC